CTTTTCACACCAAAGAGACAGACATTCTGGACTCCGCTCCTGATTGGGGGCTAAAGAGTAGAACCAGGCATTTCACTAAGGGGCAATGGTGGTGGCTCTACTTCACATTCCCCATTATGTCATATTGTGTTAATTTCCTGCTTGACAGGCTGAGATGCTGTACCCAGAAATATCTGAGCAATGTTTCATTTGTCATTGGTCTGTGAGGAAAACCAGCTTTCTCACAAGAAGTGCTGGTACTTTCTGTCTTCCCACCCATGCCACTCGCAATTGTTCATCTAAGTCCACTTTTGTGGAGGTCTATCATTTTTGATCCTCATTTGCATTTAACACAATATAACATTTATTTAGAAAACATGCACTGCCTTCTGGATGTTGGTTTCTTCAAGTGTAGAGCCCATTTAAGGAGGGAAAATTCATATCACAAGTGGTGATGTGGCAGGATTCTATATGGTATGGGTATCTGATCCTTTGCACCTCAGTATCCAGAGAGAGTATCCAGAGGCTAGACTTCTATCTCTTCCATCTTCTGACATGGTGGTGGGGGTTTGGTCTTCCACTACGCATCTGGTGCTGAAGCTAACACATCATCTCATTGGGAAAAAGACCGGCTGTACTCAAAATGTTCTGCTCATAACGAGGAATAACAGCCCTGGGGCGAGAGCTACATTACAGATGAGATCAAGCATCAAGTTGTAATTACGACATAGTCCCTGAGAGATTAATTCATAATTCCTGTGAACTGATCCATGTCCTTTGCTGAGGTTATCCGGAGGCAGTGTATGGACTAACCACAATGGCTAGGTAGCTGACCCTGATAGGGTAGTTGGTCCTGCCCCATAGCCAAACTGTGGCAAAAAAAACAAGATCTAAGGCAAACAGTACAAATTGGTCCATCACACTACATCCTACTGATCTGGCTGGTAATAATCTCTATAAAGATCAAGGTAGGGTGGCTGAGGAAAGATCCAATATTCAGCTGACTGATGGTCTTGATTATGGATTAGTTGCCTCTTGCTCTGATGGCCAGTAATGACAGGAGCAGGCTCAAACTGTCTTTTACAGAAGATCCATAATACATTACAATACCTGTTGATCGTCCCAATCAGTTTAAGACTCTGGGTAGCAAACCGCAAGGCATGGGTAAACAAAAAAAGAGGTATATATCCATATACAGGATAGATGGAAGGGACCTAAAATTTACAACCAGTGTTTGCCTCAAGCTTGGAGTATCTGAGGCTGTAAGGTTGGCCTTAAATTGAGACAACTCTTGGCTTAGTGTGTCTAGCAATGGGGACCAGACACCATCTCCTGTTCCCCTACCACCCCCTCCCCCAGAAGCTTAGGCACAGGGAATAGTAACTGGACAATGGTCCAGTTTTGCAGTGCTGATACTTAGGAAAGGAGCCCTCAAATGTCTTGTGGAGCTACATTAGGCACACAGGATTCTAAAAGGCATTTGATAAACCGAAGGAAAAAGGAGACACGGGAGCTTCTAGAACACAGGAAGAAAATGAAAAGTTTATCAGCGTAGGCTTTGAGAGAAGTTTCTAAAGTTCTACCACAATAGACATGAAAGGAAACTTGGAAGAATGTCAGGATTCAGGTCTGCGTAGATAATGCCTGGGGTTGGAGCTTCTATTAAGTCTTTAAGCTTTGGAATATTTAAAGGAAGAGGTGTGTGATCTACATACCATAAGAGTCATCCATCCCAGACAGGAGCTTTCTCTATGCCATCAAATTAATTAATAGTAATAATCAGCGGGATCATTGAGAGTCATGCAGTTAGACACAACTGGTATTTCAAACCACAATCCAAAACAAGATGACATTTTCATTTTGAGTCAAGCAACAAAATTGGACAGTTAAGCATCTTATCTGGTGTAATTACAGAATTCTCTCTCATACAACATTGGTATGTATAATTCCTCCTCTCCCCCCCACCCCCGCTCCCAGCCCCGGTAGCTTGCAAGACAAAAGCAAATATTTCAGCCCCAGCTCAGGAAACATGATTGTATCTGGCCATGTAAGTAAGATTGGGATTATAGGGAGATTTTTCTCTGGCTACTGTAGCTAAATATTCAGAGCGGTGCTGCAGAGGCCCCCAGAGTGAAGGTCACGTCCAAGGTCAAAGCATAAGGGCAAATATTAATCTCCTAATTACAAAGCAGGCAAGTAAAGTATGTGAAGAAATTCAAAGGTTGCATAAATTTAATTAGGATTTTAAAGAGGCAAAGGGATTATTTTGGAGCTTTCTGCGTGGAAAGCATATGCTGCACCTTGTAGCTAAAGCCCCATGACGGTGGAGGATCATGAAGCACAGAAAAAAGGGATGCAGGCAAGGAACAGACAGAACCTATTGGAGTGTAGATCGGAAACGGATGAGAAGTGCAGCCTGAGTTGGCGCTCTAGCCTGGACAATTTCAGAGGAGAGTTGCTGTACTGGAAATAAAGCACCATGTAATCCTGTGTTTCTTAACCTTGGCAACTTTAAGATGTGTGGACTTCAACGTCTAGGATTGAAGGAATTAAAGTAGAACTCCCAGAATTCCCCAGCCAGCATCCCCCTGCTGGCTGGGGAATTCTGGGGGTTCCATTTTAATTCCTTCAATCCTGAGAGTTGAAGTCCACACATCTTAAAGTTGCCAAGGTTGAGAAACACCGATGTCATCTGACAAGGAAATCTTTTGAAGATTTTGTCCAAAATTGATTACATCTCAGGTTATATTTGATTTAAAAAAAAGAAATGCAAAACCAGCATTCTGAGGCATTTTGTTTGCCACTGATCACTTCTATGATCTTGAACAGATTTCCTTTGGTCTAATTTGATTATTAATAATATAGTCAAAATAACATAAGTTAAGGTGGGCATGGGTGAGGAATTTTTTTCTGCTGCTGAGGTCCAGAGGCCAATGACGTAAGGACCTTACCAAAACAGGGAGGATCCTTTGGGATTTTTATTTAATTTAACTATGCTAAAAGTACTCTGGATTAACACTTGCTCTACAAGTGTTAGCCAAACAGTGAGACTGGGGGTGGGGAATCATATTCTGCCCCCACTAAAATGTCCAGAAGCTGTGTAAAGTATTACCCAGAGTGCATATACTTGTAGCAGGTAAAAGTTTCATATACTGCCAAAAAACATCAATCATCTTGCAAAAAATATTTATTGCATTTATTCACACCTTTCTTCTGGAGGGGGCTTCTCCCATTTTAATGATCCTATGAGGTATTTTGGGCTGAGAACGACTGGCCCAAAGATATATGGGAAGCTGTCCCAGTTCAGCACCTGCAGATGACAGGGCTGGGAAGAAAAAGCCAAGATTTGAATCTGGATCCATATTATCTTCCTCTTTAGATTTTAAGTTTTTCTGAAAGACTGGAAACGCATTAATTTAAAACTATGCATTCTTCAAATTGTATTTTTAACCTTTAAGAAAGTATATAACATGAAAACATCACATCGGAATTCTAATGAACCTCTCAGCACAAAGACTATTCAAAAACATTATTACTGAGAGGGAAGTCTTGATTAACCGAGCAATACATTAAAAATTAGCTGAGACATCTTTTAATAAAACTCCCCCTTTGACAAAGATGCTGTAAATCAAAGCCACGACATACCAAAATAATCTTGACTGATTGGGAAAAGAATTCTCCCTTTGCAGCAAGGCAGAGGAAGCACCAATCTGCGTCAATCAGTAATGAACAAGAGGTCTTTTTAAGGAAGACTTCACTACACTCCCCCCCGCCACGTTCTCCATATAGCTAAGAGGCGTGTTCTGTATGTCAAAGCCCCTTCAACCGGCACTGCTAAGACGTAAGCAGCTATTATTCCCAAATGAAGCATTTGCTTGTGACATCACCCACCGTGGGTTCTTTTTGTTTGCCCATGTCTCCTGCCTGCACCAAAACGTTTGTCTGAATCATCACTCGAGCTCCCTTCTTTCCCCCCTCCCGAAGCTCCCTTGCTTTTGTTCCACATTGGCAGGAAAACTCCTTCTGACTCATGGGTTCCAAAATCGGATCGTGTCTCATTCCCAAAATGGAACTCCGAATATTTTATTATGCAGATAACTCTTGAATGTTACTGTGCTTGAAAAATGCTGGGTCCATTTACATCCGAGGAAAGAGTTTTGGTTATTGATACTCAGAGTTCTACTTGACCAGCTGGCAATCCTGAATTTAATATGCTAAGATAAGGAACTAGAGATTCTTGGTGCACGCATTTTCTTCTTTCTCCTTCTGTGAATTTCTCAAGAGATGCAGTTTTTAATCCACGTACAGTGTGATGTCACAGATCACTATTAATAGTTCAGTATAGTGCGAAACAGCAGCAGTGAAAGCTTCCTTTCTCCACCCACATTGTCCAAGATACCCTTTTAACAAAATGTGAATTCTTCCAAAGATGGTTTGTATCCTGCATGGTCTGTGTTCTGCCTCTTGGCCATTACTAAACAAAAGAACCCTAAAACAATTTCTCTAGATTGAAAGGGTCATAATTTTCAGCACTTCCTTTTTATTCACATTCCCACTATTTATACAAACATTACCATACCCTATTTCAGTCCTAAGAGTTCAAGACAGTAAAGAGGCTGCGGGTGATAATACCGAGGGGCGGATGGAAGATGGAAATGTTTTGTTCTCTCCAAGGGGCAAGAAAATTTTCTCCAACTTTGGCTGCCATTCAGCCAAATTCAAATTCTTACAGAACTGAAGTAGTAAAAACTTGGGGGAATACTCCTATGGTCAGAGAAAAACCTTTTTGCTGTTCACTACTCTGAGAGGTTTGGGTTCCACAAAGAAGTTTCTCACAACAGTTTTTATTCCTCAGCAAGCAGATAATGCAGACCTTATTAGACTTCATATTTCTTACCCTAAGGAAACCTGACATCATGAGAAATATACTGTGGTAGACGCACAAATGCTGAAGCTGTATCTGAGGAAACACTGAGGTGGGAGTTACGGCACAACATGGAAGCAATGAAGAGAAAATTATAATCACATAGATTCACGTTAAATGTATCTTTTTATTCATGTTATTCTTTGGAGTACCTTGATATCCGTCTGTAGTACTGTACTATTATTTTCAAATGGAAGCATAGTTAGAATTTATTTTTCTGATTCACTGTTCTTCTACCTGTTCTATCCGTGGCCTTTTACGAGGATTTGCTTCGTTTTCTGCTGGGATCAGATTTGAATGTGAAAGCTGAACATCTCTGAATCCATGAGACTGTGAAAACAAATAATAAAACTCTTTAAAAACTGCAACAGATTAAAGCGTAGAGCCCTTATGGTGTCTGAAAATCAGGAGTAGAACTATAGTAAGTATGCTATACTTCATAGTACAAAATAGTAAGGAAACATTACTGCTATGGCAGACCGGTGGCCATGCCAGCTGAGAATGCAGAAGCTATTGCCAGAGGAATCAACAAGATTAGGGAGGTTTCTGGTATGACTTAAATTTTCTTGGTGCTCACTTGGTGCATACTTCAGCTGACAAAATTATTTACCTCTCCTCCCTATGACCTTATGTATCCACACTAGGTTCTTAGGATATTTTCAACACATACAAGTGTCACCTTCTACGTTTCCCATGGTCTTATCCTTATTTGCGTCTCTCTTTCACCAAACCCACTGCTTACTCAGTCATCTGAAGCTCTCTTTGGAAAGTACTTTCTTGTTTCTTTCTCGCTGTGCCTGGGACCACATACCAGAATGCCAGTGACTACTTTATAATGTTCCCTCAAGTCTCACTTCACACCCCACTTCAGTCCTGACACTCATTAATTGTACGCTCTTCCTCTGACTCTTCATGCCTTCATCATTCTTGTCCCCAATTTATTGATTAAAGCATTTACATTCTGCTTTCCTTAAAAATACTCCAAGATGGCCAATATCACTATCAACATTTTGAAAAACTCTACTGCAGAGTTTTGTTCTCTATACAGAACGAAAACAATGATATAAAACAATCTACAAAAGAGCAAACAGTAACAAATTAGTAGTTTTATAACAGCAGTATTAGATTATAACAACCTGTTATTAGAGCCAGATGTTACAGGCTAAAGGCTCTTCTGAAGAGAAGTATTATTGCTGTCTACTAAAGTTTCATAAATGGGTGAATGAAAAGGCCCTTCCTGGGAAGGAATGTCAGTCTTGGCACGAGTGTGGAAAAGCCTTTCTTCCCCCAATGGCCTGGCCATGTGGGTATTTGGAATATGTGAGAGCGCTTCTGATCCTAATCTTTATAAAGAGAAGGCAAAATATTTGTAGTTAATAAGTTAAATATTTATATTAGGAAGAAGTAATGGTGCCAGCTTCCCCATAAGCAGCCTCAGCCAAATCTGGTTGTCACATTCAATTTTTCATTTCCATTAAAACAAGCCAATAGTCTTTATTTCTTAGTCTTTGCTCCCTCAGCTTTCAACAAACAAAAAGCCAACACAAGAAATAAAGCATTTTATACCTGAAATACATAGCAGGCCTATGTATAATCTTTTCTTCAGGTGTGCAATTTAAGACCCACTCGCACCCCCAAATAGGAGAAAGAAGGAAAAGACACAATTCAGGTACCAGTTCTTAAGTTTTCAAATTTCTTATGGAAACAATTTGGAAAGAGGAGATTCTATAAAGAGCCAGTCTCTGAGAAACCAAAAGATCAGCCTTGCTTTCCAAATCATCCTGCATTGCGATGGATGGAATCACTGCAGCTATGTGATGGTTCAGGGACATAACTAACCTCTTTGCTGACTCAGTGGGGTAATCCTACCTCTGTTCTTTTCCCACGCTCAGAATTATTCCCCCAATTAAACTACTGTCTTGTCCAGCCTGCTCTTAAAAATGGCAAATTGCAGGTGGCTACCAATTGTTCAAGGAAGCAGCAAATTTGTTTCAGAAGAGATGCCATTTCAAGCTGGCAGAGTGTGAAAAATGAGGTAGAATCATGTTGTATGTGGTGGCTTTAAAATGACAAAAAGGATCTACAAGCAAGACCAGCTTGATCTGCAACAAACACAGCAACTACTTATCTCTGAGACTAGGAGCTCTATGAGTAGCACTGCAAGGCCACCAACCCCTTTTAAAAGGACAGATAAAAAGAGTGGCGATTAGCATAGTATTTAGGCAAGCCATCTTCTGAAATGTCCTTTGTTAGTTCTGTGAAGGGAATAGGCAGAAATATTAAATGCTTCAGTGTTGCCACAGCATCTCATCATGGCAAAGCTGTTCCTGAAGCCAAAAATGAGTAGCTAAAACACTCCAGCCATGATATAAGCAGAAATGCAAAAACAAACCAAAAAACCACCACCACCACCTCAAAAAGTGGAAGACTGCATCACCAACCCCACTTAGATTCTAGTTACAGGTAGTCCCTGAGTTACGATGGTAACTGGGATCGGAATTTCCATCGCTAAGCCATGTGGTTGTAAAGCTCAACGTCATGCGACCTCATCGCTTAGCAACAGCAATCCCAGCACTCCCCGTTGCTGTCGTTAACTGAAACCCACCAGTCATTACCTGAGGACCCACTCTGATCTAAGCCATTCCTGGCTTGGTCCCTATCAGCCTCAAGCCTTGGCTCTTCCAAGGTAAGGGACTGCCTCCCCTTCAACTCCCCCCAACTGCCCTATTCCCCCCATCTCTGCCCTTTTGGCCACCCTGCCTTGTGGGGTGGCAAGCAGCCCCAGAACTGCATGGCTCTGGGGCTTCTTGCTGTGCTACGGCTCAGGGGCTGCAATAAGCCTGAACCGCAGTGCGGTGTGAAGCTGCAGCCACCCCAGGAAGCCCTAGCTGCCCCAGCCTGGCCCAGGAGTGCGGCATGAAGCTGCAGCCACCCCTGCCCAGCCCCAGCTGTAGCCGCCTTCGCCACCCTGGACTCCGAGGCCTCTGCCGCCCTGCGCTCCACTGCTCCAGCTGATCTTTGCCATCTTCTTGCTCCCGCTGCTGACAAGGCATGCCTGGCCTGGCCCTTAATGAGGCAGCTGCTGGCCACACAAGGCCTTCTTCCCCAGGTCTCGCAAGGAAACTACTACATGGAGCCTTGGGAAGAAATCCTTGGGCAGCCAGCAGCTGCCTCCCAAAGGGCCAGGCTGGACTTGGTTGGTCAGCAGTGGGAAAAGGAAGACAGCAAAAGTCAGCTGGGGGTGGCGGAGCGCAGGGCGGCAGAGGCCACGGAATGCAGGGGGCCGAAAGGGCAGAGGTGGGGTGGAGATAGGCAGGTGGGAGTTAGGCAGGTGGGGGAAGTTGAAGCACCCCTGCAGTAGTGTGGACAGGTTGCCAAGTGCCCGAATTTTGATCACTTGACTGCGGGGGCGCTGCAACAGCCATAACTTCAGGGACTGGGCTTAAGTATCATTCGTTTAGCACTGCCGTAACTTCAAGTGGTCACTAAACAAATGGTCATAACTCAAGGACTACTTTTAATGGAGACAGTCATTGCTTTCCACACCAACAGGAATAAGATCTACTTCTCCCTCGTTAGTAGGATCAGTAGAAACTTAATTTCCAAGCAATTTTATTTTTATATCCCCCGGTTCTTTTCTGACTCTTCCTCTAGCCATAGTTCCTCTTTTATTCTGCTTTTCAGAGGCACAAGGAGATTCTAATTATATCATCTTAGGTCTGTGTATAATTATGCCAAGTGGATTTCACTTTCCAGAACCTCCAGGAATATCTTAGTTATGGGAAGGAATGCATAGATAAAAACTTCTCTAATGAAGTAAGCATGACCTGTTTGATCTCTTACCATTACCGAATATTAGGTAAATGTTATTAGCCCTAACATTATTTGGCCTGAAAAAGAATGCCAAGCCTGCTGTATAAAAAAATAAGAATCAGTGAAAATAAGAAAACAAAAATAAAATTAAGGTTCTAGAGCTGAGGCAGAATTACAGTTAAAAACATAAACATGAATTGGCTGTTTACAGACTTAGCAAGTTGAAATCACATTGGTCTGTTAGGTCAAAATTGGAAAAAATATTCATTTTATTAAAAATATTATCCTGGGGTTTCTTGCATAGAATTTAGCTCTTAACAAGTTTTTAGAAGGCACTATGAATTCACTATGAAATAAAATAATGCTCCATTTTCAAGAGTGTGGTGAATTAAGATGAGGTCAGTATTATAATCTCCACATTAAAATTGAAGGAGCTGTGCCATTAAAGTAGTTGCAACCTTAGAGATCATGGTGGCTTATTTTATTATACTGATATTTTCTCAGCAGAGACAGAGTTACTTAAACTTTGTGTTTGATGTGAGTAAAACTGAAAATTTTCTGTGACTAATTTTCGTGTCAGGAAGAGCTTTGAGAAAATTATATTTAAATCTATGATTTCCACCACCCACTGTTCTGCCAAAGGCTTTCATATTGCTTTTATTCTTTGTAATCAGGACAGCATCACCCCTAAAATAAAGCTACGGCCAATGGGCTTGCCAAGAACCAAACGAGAGGCAGTTTTCAGTAGCAGACCTAAGACTTTATCACTGGCAAGCGTATACTCAGATCAGCGAGACTAATTCAGAGCATGGTCGTTTCTACATTGTGACGTAGATCACAGAAGCCCAATGACAACCCTTTTTCTCCCAAATGGAAGAGCCACTGAGGAAATGAAAAGCAAGCAAGAGCGGCTCTTCCTTTCTGCAGCTTTCCGGAGACATCGGAAAGGAGTCTTGCTAGGGTTGTTTAAAGGTCTGTTACAAACATCCATGAGCCTGGAAGTTCTTTGTATCCAACAAAACTTATTTTTTACCCCCACCATCACAATATTCGTGGTTCTACTTTGGTGATCCCAAAACACATTCAGAACTCAAAAAACAGCTTTAAAAATCCACAAGAAATGCTATGGCAACACGTTTCCAGGAGCACGCATGGCAAGCAAACACTTACAGTTTGGTAAGCTGTGCTTTTGACATTTGAAGAGCCGTTTAAAATTGTTTTTGCTCAGCTCCATATTCTGCAGAAACTGCCCATAAAATGTGGCTAGTACAATATTTATTTCAGGATTCTAGGGGGACATTTCAAATGCCATTAAAAATACCTGGAAAGTTTCTGTATTTGTGTAAGGATCCTATTCAGCCAATTTAGCACCTAGTTCCTGCCACAGTCAATTGGGGGTTATGATTCAAGGCTACCTGCTAAATCCAGAACTGTCTATATAAGATGAGACCACTTATTATGATCTGAGTCCATGATGTGAGAATTAAACAGGTTATTTGCTTAATTTAGGTCATCAGGTCCATGTAAAGTTAAGTTGATATTACAGCTTGCCTTGGGTCCATTATTTTGGAGAGAGACAGGTATAAATTTTAGCTAGAACATAGGTTTGGAGACTACCAGGAACAAAGTCAGCTAACTTAATAATTAGACAGAAGTAGATTTCGTTTGACAAAGGAGATAAGAAGAGCACAACTGCAAAGAATCCCACTGAGGATATATTGAGGACAGCAGAAGTCAATGTAGCTGCACAAAAAGCTTAATGACATTCTGGAAAGAAGTACAAAGAGAAGATGGAGACAGGGCCAGGGTTTCAAGGAAGGGTATAGATGGGCAACCCCAAATAACAGAGATGGTGCCAAGAAAGTTAAAGCTCAGAAGAAACCAAGTTTGGCAAAGGGAGTTAAGAATAACAAGAAGGGCAACTTCAGAGAGGTTTAAAGTAAAAGGAAAGGAAAAAAATCAGTATACTAGCTACTCAGTGAAGACAGATTCGTGATGGCTGGGGAATTTTGAGAGTTGAAGTCCACATGTCTTAAAGTTGCCAAGGTTGAGAAACATTGGGATACAGAATGAATGGGATACAGTTGGTCAGTTCAGACATAGTGT